GGCGGCGGAGAGCCGGCGGTGGCTGGAAGGCTTCCTGCGGGACTTCCCGGCGTTGATCTTCACCTCCATTCAGGTAACGCAGCGGTGGGCGCAGCCGTGCGGGGGGCCGCCGAGAGCCGAAGTGCCCGGGCTGCCCCGTCGGCAGAAGGGAGGTGGTGGAGGCGGAGGGCCTGCCGGTAGGCCTGGCTGCAGCGCCCCGAGCAGCGCCTCCGGTGTCGCCCGCTCCATTGCTCCTGCAGTGCACCGTCCTTGCCCTCTGCTTGGTGCAAGCGAGGGCCACGGAGATGCGTTAGTGGCAACGTGATGTTTAGCGTTGCCTGTGCGTGTGTATAAAGACCACGAAAAAGTGTAGAAGTGCTTCATCTTTTCTTTCCTTGTTTTAACGGCAGGTGACTTACTTTACCTCGCTGTCCAGACAACAGGAGTTTGAAGGAAATACCAAGAGCGTGATCCCACTCTTCTCCATAACGTATTTCTTGACAATAACCTTTTCAATCGTCTCTTGTCTAAGGTAAAATGTCTTCTAAGCTATGGGTCGATGAGGAGTGACCTCCACTCTTCTTTACCTTGCCTAAATTGGTTTCTGCTCTTGTAAAGTGAAGTCATTCTTGAAGCTGCAGGCTTCATGTAGTAATGGGCGACGTGTATTTCTTTGCTGATTCTCTCCTTCTTGTGTGTATTTCCCACCTGGTTAAATGCGGTTCATGATAAGTATCATCAGACGAATACCTGAACAAGTGTTCAGTTCAGACATGCACAGCTTGAATGCCAGTATCCATTCGTCTGTTCTTTGAAGCCGTTAGTCATTTCTGTAATCCCCGCCTCAGAGTCCTTTTTGTAGCTCATGGGTTTGGCACTATGTAAACAAATGAAACAACCCCCTACTCTTTATCTTGTTAAGAGGTCTGAGGTGCTGCAGCTTTGGTGCTGAAAAACACTGTTGCAAAGTAAACGCTTTTAATTCTGAAAGGGTTCTACTTTACCCCATGCGGGAAGGGGGCGAGAACCGTGATCTCGCCAGCTTGGCAGCAGCAGAATTCTGCCCAAGCACTTCTGTTGAATAAAACCTACCAGCTCAACTTGGCATACCCAGTGGAGACATTCACCAAAAAGATGTGTAAAAGTCAAACAGAAAAGTTGTCATTTGGGGGGAGGGAAGGAATAAGCGGTGCTATTGCTAAGGTTATTCTACTAGTTTATTGTTTCATTCATAGCTTCTATCCTCATCCTGCCCACAAGAAAACTAATTCTTTGTAAAGATTAGTTAAAAAAGGGAAGGAAGCAGGGGAGGGAGGTGGAAGTATGCCATGTAAAGATCTGTGTGCACCTTTTTTCTGCCACCTGCTCAGGTAAGGTACAGATGACTGAGCACTAGCTTCATAGGTTACTGCAAGACGGGGTACGGCTTTAGGTATTCTGCTTGCTAGTGGAGTCTGAGCCTTACCTGCTGTCCACAAAGAACTTAGCCTGCCCTTTCTTTGTGCTGGTGGAAGGTGAACCATTGTACATTTGACAACCGTATGTCAGTGTTTTTGTGCTGTGCTTGAGAAATAAAGTTCTACTCTGAGGGTGGGCTTGTTGGTTTAGCGCTTGCATCAAGCATCATGCCCATTAGGCTATACAGTTTCTAGATATCAGCTGTCTCATGTCCAGTCATTTGCCAGCGCAGACAGAGCAAGGATGGTTCCACCAACACACGCTTCTTGCCTTGGAAGCGAGCGGTTCTCTTAATGTTCAGAAGTGGTCTACAGCCTGGAAAATATTGCTAATCAGGCAAGAAGCAACTCTCTACCCCCTGGGTGTGGTGCTGTCAATAGCATCACGTGCGAAGTCTCCCACTGGGAGTGTTTCATGGGGAATCCTTGAGCCAGCCCTCGGGGGCGTCTTGGCAAATGGCTGCTAGCCAGTCTGTCTGCTGGGAAAGCTTCTGTACACAGCACTTACTGCCTGGGAGGTGCTTCCATACTACACCAACATGCTACACCAAAAACCCGTGTAAAAGGAAAGGGCTTCTAAAAATTCATAATTTTTTGGGTCACCCTACACCTAGCCTCTCATTGGTAGAGCTTACGTATCTTCATTTTGCCAGCTCTCTTGTTATTGATGCAAAGATCAGTACACATCTTTATGCTTATGTACATAACTGGCCAGCAGTGATAATGTATTTAGCACCTCCTATATAAATTAATCTTGTCCAATGCTGACACCTGGGAGCTCTCCTGCACATAGCAGCTTTCATCAAGAGTTCTCTTCACAGACAGGATACTGTCGGTACCTGAGCAGAATATTTACTTGTCATGCCGAACATCTTTGTGAAATATTTGACATGTAACTAAGATATTCCTTAAAATATTTTCAGACAGAGCTGTGTAAGAAATAATGTCTGGCTTGCATGCTGTGGAGTGGTTTCTTCCGGTTTAGCTGTGTTAAGCAGCTTTGGATTGATGCTCTTCTGTGGAGTACCGTTTGTGGTCACTGTAGCAAATGCACCATTTCTTATTCTAGGTAAGTAGAAAAAGCGAGTCGGATTCAGATATGAAGACTAAAGTGGAGTTAAAACAACCTGACGGTGTTGCTCTTTAATGATACGAGCAGCAGATCACGCGCAGTTCCGTCCTGCAGCGAGGGGAGGAGACACTCTTGAGCTCCCACAGGCGCGTGAGCTGCTCAGCTCAGCGGACCCACCCTGGGACTGGAGCTGGGCTCTGGCAGAAGGGCAGCTTTTCCCAAAAAATGATACCTGCTGTCGTTCCACTGCTATGGCATGAAAACTATAAATGAGAGGGTGGTAAGGTTAGCACTTCTGGCATTGTTCAAGCATCCCTGATAATTTAGCCATGCTGATTAAGCATTTACTTAACCTAGTGCTAATCCTTGAGGTGGGCTCAACAGGGTTCTGTCACTGTATTCCTCTGTATCATCCCCTGCTGTTTTCTATAGGTGTACTATAAGCATTTACATGTCTCATTAGCTCTGGATAAGTTTGTCTATCCCAAAACAGTTTGCTGTTAGTACTGTTCTATGGGACTGCTGAATTTGTCAGCAATTTAAGCAGGTGCAGAGATCTTCCCCAAACCATCCACCTCTCGACGACCTCTTTTTGGAGTACAGTGAGAGCTCCCTACTTCTCTACTGTTAGTCAGCCTCAGGGTAGCTCAACAGCAGCACCGTGGAACACGTGTCCAGTGTGCAGCTCATGCTACACTAGCACTGACTTAATCCAGTACCTGTATTACGAGGTGAATATGGGAAGTAAGTTACTGTAAGTTTTTGTATCCCATTTTCAGAGTGTAGTCTTCGGTCAGATAAAATTGCGCTTGAATAGGGCTTAAGCAATGAGCAGGACTGTCTGTAATTTCAAATAAGAAATCCATCTCATTTTGTTAAGATGTGAAATTTCCTCTGCAGTATAATGACTATGTAGTAAACAGTCTCATTTAGCTATACAACTGAAGTGATGCACCATTCGTGCAACCAGCTCCCCCCAAAAACATGAGGAAGTTAGTATCATTGCATCACAGTTGCACAGACTGCTTGACAGCCAGTGCTGAACTTTCCAAATACCATTAGATAATGTTGCTGCAAATAAATTACTGCTTTTAAAATCCTTATCTGGTCTTCTATATGATAAATTCGTGTGATTTTTTTTTGGTCTTGGTCTCATGCTGAGGAAAGCACATGGAACTCCTGGGTTGATAGAGGCTCTGAGGGTTGATAGCGGCTCTGCTTCATACTAGATGTCTAATGCAAATTCTCCTTAGGATATGTGTAGTTTCTTCTTTTCCTGCATAATTCAAATGCATTTTGTGTTTGCATTTGCCTATCGTTTGCATTTGCTCATGCTCATGCATTTGCTTAATTTCACAAAGACCCTTTTGTATAGCTGGAGAAGAGGTTAAGCTAGTCTCTTTAGATCTCTATAAATAACATGCAGACCTTTGTTTTCCTTGCATTAAAGCAAACAAATTACTAGTACCATAAGATTAATTGCTTTTGAAGCCTGCCTGCTTTCTGGAAGCGGTCTGGCTCGCCGCCATCCAGTATTACCTTTTGACTTGCTGCTTATCTTGTTCCTGGTTTCTGGCTTATCTGAGATCCAAGAGTCAGTCCCAAGCATGCAAAAGTCATAGGCCTGGTTAAAAATCATGAGTCTTTTCTAGAATAACAGTTCTGCGTGTTTTCTTTTTTTGGTTTGTGGGTTTACGTGCTTGGTTGTTTTACAGTCTGTTCAGGTAACGTTGTCAAACTTTCTTTCATAGTTAAAAGGAATAGGCATGAGTGGGAGGGCTGAGCACTGAGATTGCTACTTAATCCCAGCATGCTAGAAGCGGTTTTTTCAAGAAAACCCTCCCATCAAAATCGTAGAAAGTGGGGCCTGGAGGGAGCCTCATGAGGTCGCCCTCCCTGCTGCAAGGCAGGAGCTAACTGAACCACTCCTGGCAAACGTTTTAAGAACTTCCTGAGAATTAAACAGGAAAGTGTTTGTAGTAGTTAATTATCTCAAGAACTTTTGAGGCTTCCCTGATATTTTTAAGTTGATTGTTCCTTGTTCTTCCACATACATGGAAGATAGTTGATTTTATTATTATTTTTCGACAGTCCTTTATTCATTAGAGGACTGTTATCATGCTGTCTTCCATAGTGTTGAATATTCAAGCATGCAAACAGATTAGTATCAAAGAGATGATACAGGGCCTGTCCGGCCCACCTTTTTTTCTGGACATGATCTTGCTCAGTAGGGATAGCTGAACTTCACTTAGAGCAGCTTCTGATTTGCTGTGTTGTTAAAGCCAGACATAGTAGGGCAACTCCAGGTTTGGTTTATCTAACTCTGTCAGCTGTTACGTTCAGTTGTACCTGCTCTGCAGAATGCAGTTTCTGGGAGAGGTTCAGAGAAGACAGCCAAAGGTGAAAGTACTTTCAGCCACCTGCCACTACCTGTGTTGTTGGACCCGCACCTATCCCTATATCTTTCGTGCTAATAGCTTCTAACCATCTTCTGCACATCATGCTCCCTTATCTGTTTGTCATCCAGCCTTCCATTTCCTGGCCTTCTTCCCTCCACCCAGATCTTTTTCTGCCACTTAACCAGTTAGTCTCCATTTTCTGTTTGTGCAGTCCTTTTTCATTTATTTATTTCTGGAGTGCTTTGTTCATTGACTTGCTATAATTCTGAAAGCAATTAAATTAGTATTTCTCCAGTTTATTTCTCCAGTTTATCAAACTTGCTGTGAATTGATCGTACTCCCTTGAAGTGCTTGGAACTTTTCCCAGACGTCACTGGGAATTTAAATGTATTTTCTGTTTTCTTGATTGAAACATTGACTAACACTGTACGAGTGCTTTCCATGAACGCCTTTGATCAAGACATCTACCCAGTTTTACAAATAATTCATCTTTGCATGTTTACTGGCAATTGATTGTTCATGCAGCAGGTAGTGATTTCATCTATTCTTTTATGCTTAGCTATATAATTTTTGCTTGCTCCTCTGTTCATGTGGTCTTGCTTCCTTTTTTTGTGTGATTAATTTGCAGCAAATAGAAGAGACCTTGATACAGTAATACTGGCAAGATACTGAAAGGCCTGTGATTTAAAATCTCAAGAGTTAGCAGAGCTGAGAGGAGCACATTGGCTCTTCCTTTTTGAACTTCGGCTCGCTTACTCTTGTGTCTTAGCAAAAACTCTAGCCCAGGACTCAGTCTTCCTGGCAGGGATTCTCAGGACTCTGGTGGGTAATATATGCAGGCATATCAGTATAAATGTGAAGATAAATGAATAATAAATCGTGAATAAATGCTCAAAGATAAACGGGAGAGAAGGTAAGTGGAGAACAAAGAGCATAAAAAAGCGAGCTACTGGAAAACTGGGATCACTGTTCTCCCATGTGGTAGCAACTGCTCTCCCTGTCTGCTGAACACAGAGCAAGAAATCATTGGTCTAATTTGCTGCAGTGACAAAGAAAGAGATTCCAGAGATAGTGGGGGACGCTTCTAGTGATAAGGGTAGTTGAGCTTGAGCATCAGAAGCAGCAATGTATTTAAATCTATGTAATCACTGGACACCTGGACAGCAGATACAACACACTTGTCACAGGTGGACTAGGTGGGCTCAGTCCTTCAGCAGAGTAGGGTGAGGGATCAACAGCCCATCAGGTTACCAGGAGTTTCTGAAATGTAATAAATTCAGCTACACACAAAGGATCTGTTTTCCTGTATCTGTTTAACTTCCATCAGCACTAAAGCAATGTTAAACGCCTAACTTTCTTTTTCAAAATTTTATGCAGACTTCAAGACGATTCATTTCGTACTTTTGTTGGGTGTTAGTGGAAGCTGCCATTTGCAATGCAGCATTAACTTTTTCTCCTCCCGCAGGAGTTGGTGTTGATGACATGTTCATCATGATCGCTTCCTGGGAACAAAGTTCAAGAAAAAAAGAGAAATCCGATGTTAAATCTCGGTTGGCCGAGACCTATGGAGAAGCAGCACTTTCTGTGACCATCACCACTCTCACAGATGTTTTGGCCTTCTTCATTGGCACCTGGACTGCTTTTCCGTCCGTGAGATCATTTTGCCTCTACGCAGGCACTGCTTTCGTCTTCTGCTATATATATACCATGACCTTCTTTGGGGCAATTATTGCATTAAATCATAAAAGGGAGCAAGGAAACCGACACTGGCTAACTTGTATGCGTGTGGGAGGAGATCAGGCTCAGAAGTCCTGCTTGTACAATGCTTGCTGTATAGGCACCTGCTCTAGGGAGTCATCTCAGCCAGAAGGTGAACATCCAATGAGCATATTCTTTAAAAAATATTATGGTCCTTTTTTTACAAATAAATGGATCAAGCTACTTGTGGTGTTGCTGTACGGAACATATTTGGGTGGCAGTATTTATGGATGTACTCAGATCAGGGAAGGCATTGATCTTCGAAATCTGGCGAGTGACGGCTCTTACGTTATTCCATACTATGATGACGATGACAAATACTTCTCAGCCTATGGACCTAGGGTCATGGTTGTCATTACTAAAAGTGTAGATTACTGGAATGAGACTGTTCGTCTTGGCATTGAGAACTGCACACAGAATTTAGAGAGCATTTCCTATGTAGATAAGAACCTCTCGGAGTCATGGCTGAGAGCATACTCAGAACTTGCCAAAAGGGGTTCCATAAATATAAACGATAAGACTACTTTCATTAGTAACTTACCTATACTGTTCAACATTGTTCCCAGTTTTAAGTGGGACGTTAACAAGACTCAGGATGAAATAGAAGCTTCACGTTTCTTCATCCAGACGGTGAACGTGATCTCAGCGGTTGATGAGAAGAATCTTCTCAATCAGTTAAGAGAGACAGCCAAGCAGTGCAGTATTCCATTAATGGTGTACCACCCAGCGTTCATCTACTACGATCAGTACCTGGTAATAGTGCAGAACACCATTCAGAACGTTGTTGTTGCTGCCGGGGCAATGCTCATTGTCTCCCTTTTGCTTATTCCCAACCCGTTGTGTTGCTTGTGGGTGACTTTTGCTATAGCTTCTGTTATAGTCGGTGTTGCTGGTTTCATGACGTTTTGGAACGTCAACCTAGATTCCATATCCATGATCAACCTGGTCATTTGTATAGGGTTTTCAGTAGATTTTTCTGCTCATATTTCCTATGCCTTTGTTACGAGTGGAGAGTCATCAGCCAATGAAAGGACAATCGAAGCTCTGTCCCTGCTGGGTTACCCAGTATTACAAGGTGCAGTTTCTACTATATTAGGAGTAGTTGTCCTGGCTGCAGCAAAAGCCTACATCTTTAGGACATTTTTCAAGATCATGTTCCTTGTTATTTTGTTTGGAGCTCTTCATGGTCTTGTTTTTATTCCGGTGTTTTTAACCTTTTTTGGAAACTTTGGCAGATCACCCCACAATACCAAACCTAAAAAGCTAGAGACTTGCTTTAGAAATGATAAAGATTGTCCGTGACTAAGTTAAATGTAATGTATTATATATTTATTATATGCAGATTAAAATGCAGTGACTTTCAGGGAATAAAAGACACAAAGAAAATGAAGGACATTTCATGAAAATGAGAAAAATAAACACAACAGGGAAGCAAAGGCTTCAGAAAAGCCAGGCAGGAAAAATAGGAGAAATGAAAGTGCACAGAATGTATTTGCATTTCTCATTTTGTGTGTGCTTGACTAACACTTTAATGTTGTTAAATGTTTTTTTTGTGACTTTTTTACTGAATGTATTAAAATTATCATAAACACTGAACACGCCATCAGCTTAATGGACTATGTTACAGGTTTGGCAGGCAATGTAGATGGGAGGGAAGAATAACTCCCACTGGTTTGCATTTCCTGCCTGTTTACCTTGATGCTGTAACTTAGCCCAACGCTGAGCCTGAAGACAATTTTCCCCCCAGAGGCTCAGAGCTGGAGGTTTTACAGCAAGGTTACAAGAGGTCAGAACTGCCTCGGACTGCAGTGGTTCATAAGCCTTCAGGAGACGAAGTCTGCTTAGGCTCCTAATGCAGCACGAGAAGCCGTTAGGGAAGACAAACGGACTCACATTTCCTATTCAAATCCTCCTTTTCTTGGTGTCCCGTTTTCTCGCTAAGATTAAACATCATGTAGCTTTTAGAAGATTGTGCGTAGCTTCTGGTGGCTGCAGTCTGCGAAGGGATATGCTGTAGGCGATTGAACTTGGGCGGACCTCCTGGGTAACCACCATGGAAGACGCTGTGCCGTGGCATGACAGGGCAAGGATTCACTAGAGAGAATCATGCCCTCATTCAGGACAAAGTGAAAAAGCAACTCAGGTTTAAGCCGTTAGTCCTAAAACTGTAAACTCATAAATTCTGTTGTGTTCATCAGTGACAACCCATCCTGTGATGCGCCCATGGAGCAGAGGAGCTTTCACTGAATAAGAACTAAGAACATATGAGGCGGTCTTTTAACCTGCAGGGACAAGACACTGGGTGAAAAGACAGTACATAATTTGTTGCCAATTTAATGAGCTACCTGTTGGAAATCAAATGAGTGGTGGTAACTGGTATTTGTAATTTTGGAAAAATTGGTCTAGGAGTTATTAAACCATTTGGTCCAAATCTGCCTGCAGCTGTGGAGTGTTTCTTCTGAGAGCTGCAGTGTGTGACGAAGCCGGGGTCTGCCTCTGTTCCGTGGGGCTTCTGACCAGTTGCATGAGAGCCAGCAGACGGGGCAGAATCCTTCCATTTCCTTCATGATGTCTCTGTTTATGGGGACAACAGACTGGAAGACAAGTCACTCAGAAATTACTAATTCACTTCCAGGACAAAGTACTGATACTAATTTTCAGAGCAGTGAATCATAGTCTACAGGCATTAAATTAATTTCCAGTTAAGAGTCACTATGAAAGCTAGATAACAAAGCTCAGGATAAATCACTGACAGCCAGGAAGAAATTGTGCGACCAGTTACTCAATGTTGGCTGAATCTGGAATGCAACAAAAGCATTTATCAAAGAACACTGGCAACTTTCTGTCCAAAAGCCATTGTTAACCAAGTTACCACAAAAAAGGAAATTAAAAATCAAACCCCAAAACTTCTCAAAAAATTTTGATTCTGTGCACGCCCTCTCAAACTGGGGGGGGGAGGTGCTGGGGTGGGGCACGTGCCAGCAGCCGCATGGGGTTTGCCTGAAACTTTGCTATGGATATATGACTACTACGTTGTTCATTGCTCAGGTCCTACAGTGATGGATGAAAGTAAAACCTTTAGAGAGGTGCTCTGAAGAGTAACAGCTACAGTCATCATTAAGACACGTCACATATCCCTTTGTAAAAGCAAAATGAAATCAAGCACGAAGCTGTTTTTTGGAGGAGTACTTAATGTGTGTAAAAACAGAAGTGCACTTCAGCTGATGTGTCTTTCCATGCCTACTTTTATCCCTAGGTCCTAGAGCAATAGGCTTTTCTGCTTGTGGAGATTAAAGCGAACCAAACCACACCACACCACCAATCGCCCTACCACCCACCCCTCTACCTACAACAGGCTGACAGTTCTTACATGAAATTCTTTCTGAAAGGTATCCAGAACTTTCCTGCAAATTTCTGTCTCCAAATAATGCTACGTTTCCTTTGCATTCACGTTTTTCTGTGGAACCTTCCTACCTGGAAAGACACTCAAACCAAATTCATGTGTGTTGTTTCATCACTAAGGCAGCTGAATATTCCGCTGTGAAAGTAGCTCTGTAATAACGGGTCAATGTTTATTAAAAAAGTTACAGGTCTTGCAACGCTCCAGAGTTGAAGAGCTAGTTTTGTTCATAAAAGGAGAAGCGGTTCTTGAAATAGTAGTCAAAGACTGAAAACTAGTATCAATCTTAGAAGTCTGCTCCTGAGGTGGAAGCCAAAACCCAGTGCTACTACAGCCCGTATGGTACATCACTGAATCTCAGTATTATAGCCAGCAGCACTGAATTCCCAGGACAGGGCACTAACCACACGGCTAGACTTAGGAAAAACAAAACAAAACCAAAAACCAGAACAAAACCTCCAACCCCATGCACCAGTCCTCACTTCTCCCATTAAACGTTTCAATGTCTGTATTAGTGCTTTTATTACGGCAAACGATACAGCCGTTTCTGCACTGATGAAGCTGCCAAAGGAGCGGGTGACGCACTCGCGCTGGCCAACACCAGAGGAAGGCATCTTAGTAAATACTAGACAGAAGGAACAGGAGTCATGCCCTTGGAAAAAGAGAATGGAAATCTACTTCTGAGGGAAGTGGCCTACTTCAAGTGAGCGCTCTCACCTCTCGCCCTCTTCTTTGGCCATGTTTTAGAAGCAAAAATATCTCTGCTTGCTTCGAGGAAGGGTTTCTGAGCAGATCAAGAGAGCAGACAGCTACCAATGGCTTGACTGCTCTATTTGCACAGCCAGTTGAAGGGATCACGGTTTAGAAAAGTGTTGTGACATTGCAGCCGAGTCAGGTCATGGCACAGTAGGAAGCAGCCAGAAAGAGCAGGCCGCATCTTTCACTAAAGTTTGCATTTTCTTTGTATTGAGTCTGATGGCAGAACTCTGGCGTAAGTCAGCCTTGGGAATGCAGAAAATTCAGAATCATGCCCAAGTTTGAAGTTCTTATTTTATGTGCCACCAGGCTCGTGACCCGTTTAGGGCTATTTAAAAAGCAAACAGCCCATCAAAGCACCTAGCTCTGCTGTCTTCAACAACACGAGGCCGTGCACTTCAAGGGAACCCGGGTTATTCTCACCATCTGACTGATGTTTGGAAGCTGCCTTTGTGGTCTCCTACCTCTGTCCAGTGATTACGTGAGGATGAATTTCAGCTCCTAGATGCACCCAAGAACACCAGAGGTCAAACCCAGTGCCTGAACAGACAAGTTTCTTTAGACCCCACAGATACCGCATGCACACAACCATGGAAGTATGACAGTAAACTCTTCAATAACACCTCTGCTGTTAAGCCGGCCAAAAACCAAAGATACCTTTTACACGTGATGGCTAATCTCTAACAATCTTCTTTCATGACCCAAAGAGAGATGACTTTTTTCTTTTTTGAGACTGTGCTCACTTCGTTGCACATAGCAAGCTTTTGAAAGAGAAAAGTAAGTTAGACCTCAAGGACTTACCCCCCAAACCAGATCATTCAACACAGATTTTAGTGACTTCAAAAGGGAAAAGTTTTTTGCTTTTGTTTCTAAGTGCAGATTCACGTTATTTAGCTGGAAAAGTTCCCATCCAAGTCCCACTACTGAAGCAGCAATTGAAAAAAGGTCTGAATTTCTAGGGAGAACATTCCCTAGAAACCTAATTAGAGAGAGTGCAATTTTTCCATTGTTCTTAAATTTATTCACAAGTTCAAATGTTTTATACACCTCAATTTACATAGTAGGGAACTTGGTATTACATTTTATAACAATTTACAGTGAACAAAAAGAAAACCAATATGCATAATTAAAATTAACCTTTATTGTTCCAAAAACAGATGCCGAATATGCAGTATATTTCTGTTTCTGTTGGCATATTTCTAAAATACATGTACAACTGTAACTAGTCAGCCTAGACATTTGGTATACTGTTTTATAACATTTGGAAGTTCTCCCACAGTGCACTGGGATGTCATTATAGTAAGCTGACAAAAATAGGCAAATAGAAAGTTATCCTGGTTTTGAAAGAAAAAAATGCATGTGCTCTTACTAAAAAACTAGGTTATAATCAAGCATTACACTCAGAAAATTCTAAAATACTATGTTACTTCTAGTTTTAAGTGTAGCTACCAACTTCCATTCACATTTATTGGCACCAGCCCAACTATTTTAATGTCCAAGTATGGTAACCTTCAACATTAATATGCTAATAAAGGCCCTCTCTGCAACAGAAGTTTATAGTCCCAAGAGTCTACAATTAATTGTGCAGAACGATTATGATCAAGATGTGTTATTCCTAAAAAACAGTTCCATGAGATCAGAAGAATACTGGCATATAATTGCTAGCATTCGCTTCCACTTGATTGGAAACTGCTTTTGTTTTCAAAAAACTTTTTCTTCTTATCTTAGAATTTCCAGAGGTTTCTGTAAGGGTTGAAAGAACAGGTTTTATTTCCCTACTTCTACTGTAGAACAGAACTGGGAATGTTATTTGAAACAACACATGCTTCAAACATTTTCTGAACTACTCTTTAGTGAGCAATATTGCCCTCTTTGAAGAAATTACCTGTTGGATTATCAAACGCCCATACATAGTATTAGCAGAAACCTGTTCTGTAGAATCTCAGCAGTGTAAAAGCACTGTCATCAAAGCACTGTTATCCATCTACTGCAGTAATAAAAAAATCCAAGAATCTCGTCAGCAGCACATCAGAGGTCACAGGTATTTCTCTTATCCCTGCCATGGTTCTGCCCAAAACATGGTCCAAAGAGGCTTAGACATGTTTAGCCTGTTGATTTTGCATTAAAATTTCTCTCCCAGCCATACATGTGTGTATTTTAACCCCAAGAGCACTGAAAACACAGTCACTAACGCTTTTGTCTAACATGGAGCTCCCACAACTCCCTTTAATAGAGATGCGCTGTGTAGCTGCTTCGTTCTTAGAGATGTTTTGTTGCATTGCTAAAGAAGTCTTCTTTAAAACCGATCTCTAGCCTCAAACAGAGTACGAGCATTAGCTAGACTACATACTACTGTTTTACAAATCAATCTGTCGCTATCCGTAAAACATTCCATAGCACATATTGTGGGGTATCACTTCAAACGCACATGTAGCAGCATGACCCAGGAAGCTACGCCAAAACACACCAGCATATCTGCATGTTTTTCTTCTCAGCTTCAGCACGTTTGACTAAACCAAAACGCTGAATTCAACCCTGAGATTTATCCTTCTGAATAACTTCTCGCGGGAAGAGTATAGGGAGCAGAGGATGAGGAACTTGCTTTATTTTGTGTGTCTTACTCTGATGAGACACAAATAACAGATGACTAACAGACGCTCACGAGAGACAGAATATTATTAAAGTGTCACTAATGCCATACACACATCAGGAAGGGAAAAAAAGGCTATGCTGCGTAAGACTACTGCATTGCTAGATGTACATTCTTCAAATTATCAGTTGCTGTATCACAGAAGTTATCATCTTACTTCTAGTTTTTTTCCCTCTAGAACAATTTGGATTTCTTTGGCATCCAAAGTCTCATATTTCAATAAAGCTTCGGCTAAATTCTTGTGTTCTTTTGCATGAGTCTTCAGGATGTTCTTTGCTCGCTCATATGAGTCCTAAAATTAAAAAAAAGGTGGAAGGAGATTTTAAGACTTTAGAACAAAAACAACAGCAAGATTCCACTTTAAAAATTGTTTCCAGGTAAATACAGCTTGAAACTAACATTAAAGTTGTGCCTTACATTTCATAGCTAGCACAGCTCCTCTCACGAAGATTTAAAATCTAGCTGGCATAATTAATAAAAAAAACCACCACCAAACTATGCTACCTTTGCATTTTGCAGAAGTTCGACTAAATATAAAATCCTGAGACAAACCTTAGTATTTTTACATATGACTTACAAAAGACTTACTAGATTTGAAAAGTTGCTGATTAAATTAAATATATTTGATTTTACACTATGAGCAGTGCTACAGCATTCAAGGAATGTTCCTCAAACACTGAAGTTTTTAAAAGCTTATAAAACTCTCCAAGTATTATGTACTTTTAGAAAGCTGAAAGCTACCCAACAAATTACCAGTTGCTGCAAGTAGGTGCACATTGCCAGCATTACCAGCTTCAACTTTAACTTTTAGTTCTACATAGATAGTTCTTCCATAACCAAGTCAGTTCAAAAACAGCTACAGCAAAAGCGTTGATTGTTTCAATGTTATGATATAAATAATTCTCCTGCCTGTACCAAACTAGTTCAGATTACCAGAACAGTGATCTGGAAGTTCTGCGATTATCGAATGTTACAAGTTTCCCTAAGCATCTGACACTGATCACTGCGAGGAACAGGGTACTGGAAGAGGCAACTCTCTGATCCTAGATGGCCGTTCCTGCGATTCTATGCAAACTGATTCAGCTGCAAGTTATGAAACGTGGGAGTAACACAAAACACGCACATCTGTTCTGCAACAATTTCTAGTCATACTTTTTTCCTGTGAATTGAACAGGCAAAATACAAATCCTGACCAAATGTAAGAGGAAGTGTTAAAGCGTGTATTAAAGAACCTCACACCACCAACTTGTTTCTCACTACTTGTGCATGACAATCACCAAAAAGTTTTGATATGCAGAGATTCAAAGTTGCAGCTACATTAAACACTTGGGAGTACTTCCATCCACCTGTGTGTTTTCACCAGTATACATTAACAAACTGAATAATCAAGCTGATGCTCAACTCATCTCAAAATAAAGTTATCATAGAATCATAGAATCGTTAAGGTTGGAAAAGACCCTTAGGATCATCGAGTCCAACCGTTTGGACTCGGTGCAGAGGGAGAGAGAATCTTACCCGTAGAAGCGTTCTTACTTCCTGTTCAATTGCAGACTGAGTTTCAGGGCTAACTTTCCCCGTATCAGTATAGGTCATAACACCAAGCTAAACAACAACAACAACAATCTTTATCTTGCCACTGTTGCAGTAATACACATATACACTAAGAGCTTCATCGCTATTGCTTCTATGTGCAAACAAATAAAATCAATATCAAATGCTTGCTGAAGTGCTTGCAACAGAAGCAAAACAAGAAGCCTGTTCATCAGTTATGTAGTCACTGCAGAGTTTTATTTCAACAAGTCACAGTACAGATCCTGATTAAGCATTTTCTTATTTAAAAAACAAAATCCCCAGATTACTAACACTTGAGGGGTAATAAAGATGACTAAAGAGGTTTCTTTAGAAGTCTAGAAAACTCAGTGTTGTCATCCCCTCCCCCCCCAAACCGAAGATTATCCTAAATTCCAAAATGTTTGGTTTTATTATAAACATTTTCTGCAGACATTAGTAACTTTCAAGGTAATTTCTGAGGTGAAGATCTTGCAAGTTGATTTTTAAACTGTCAAATATACAGGTTTTCTAGTTGAGTTCTCTATAGTAGGGCCAGTAATAAGGCTTACTTTCTTTTTTGCCAGAACTACTTAGTCTCTGTGATCGCTGACAGCCAAATAGGCATTTAGTTACAGAACACTTCTTTGTACCATATGAATATGTAAGGATTAAAGATACTACCTTCTCACTCATTCCAAATCTAGTCACCATCAGTTTTGCAATTTTAGTAGCATTGTCAAAATCACTGGAAGCACCTAGATAGCAAACAGATGTAAATTACATTATTGAAACCAAGTTAAACATGCCACTCCACAAGCTTTGATCAAAAATTCTGCTAACTACCAAATCAGCTGACCTGTTGTGATGTGATCACTTCCAAATATGAGCTCTTCTGCTACTCTTCCTCCCATACAGACATCCATCTGTGCAAGCAACTGGGATCTAGTTTCACTCCATCTGTCATTTTCTGGGAGCAAAGATACCTGTAAGATACAGAACTGTGGTCAGGTAACAATAAATGGAAGAAATACTGAAAGAATCCGAAAAATATTCTTATTTGTATCCAAAGCAGATATAAAGGCTTTTATGCAACAATTGGAATGCTCTGGGCCTCCTCCTAGTCTACGCACTCATCAGGTTTGCTTGGAGGTCCTTAGTCTACCAGCTGAGATAGCGTCTTACAGGCCATGAGCACCACATAAAATTAAGCAACTTAAACCTACCACCAGAAGAAACAGAACAATCTGTTCTCTCCATTTCTCCTTATTCCCTAGACTTCTACTGAGCACAAATCAACTTGCCTGGGGGCCAATGATTTTCTTTAACTGAACGCATTAACTTGGATAAAGCTCAACAGAAACACACAAATATTTTTCTGTTCAAATGCTTGGCAGCTAAAGGCAGAATAGAAAAACTTTGGGATATCTATGCTAGAAACAAGGTAGGTAACCCATTAGGTTTAGAAAAAGTCACACAGGACAACGAACAGCTTGATAAAGGATGTTTGTGTTAAAAGTACAGCTCAGCAGTGCTTCTACTTTCCAGTCCTTTAGACAATCTTCAAAGTTTCAGTGTTGGGTGTCATTTTAATTGCAGCAGAATCAAACCTACTTACATTTCTTCCCTTATATATGTGAACTATTATACTAGCACATGCTATTTTATTTCAAAATGAAGGAAGAGAGCTTTCTATCACACAGAAAAGATGACCAGTGAGTTCTCCGAGAGATTGCTCATAACTGAGTATTTCAACATATTACAATATGCATTAACATAATTACAAAAAATAGCATTGTTGGCAAATTCCTCAACAACACTAAACCAACATAAAATTCTAGCAATACTCACATGTCCAAGCGTTGTTCCTCGTGTCATGATTGTAGCCTTGTTGATCGGCATTGCATCCTTGGTATAATATGCAATGATAGCATGTCCGGATTCATGGTAAGCGGTGATGGTTTTGTTTTTCTCATCAATTTCTACACTTCTACGTTCAGGTCCTTAAACAGAGGAACATTAAATAAACCTTTTTGTACAGCTGACCACCACAATCCACACATTACATATACTCAGAGCACAAAGTAGCTGAGGAACAGCATGCAAGCAAAATTAACTAACACTCATTAAATAGAAAATGTTTATGAGTAGAATTTTAATGTCTAAAATGGACCGCAATATAATCTACAGACAAGTTTCTTTTAAAGGAACAGATTTAAAATACAGTTTGAGTATCTGAGAAAATTACATTTCTTCTCTCCAGTATGAACAGACCAGATTTTTAGTGCGTACGTCTCAGATGTTTAAGTTTTGTGTTATCACACAACAAGTTAGTTAAACAGAAGTTCCAGGTTTCTGGTCCTTTATTCTCTCCTTTCCTTTAGGAATAAGTAGGGGAAGGATAAGAAATCAATGCGGTGTCTTCCTCTACGCTCAAGTACAATATGCAGCATTTTTGATAAAAAAAAAAAAAAAAAAAAAAAAAAAAAAAAAAAAAAAAAAAAAAAAAAAGTATTAAGTCTTAAAGAATGTATTCCATACTAGATTTTACATACTATTCTCTGGTCTCAAATGGTTCTATTCAGAATAAACTAACAGAAGATTTATTTGTTTAAAAAACAAAACACCAAACAACAAAAAAACCCAACAGCATAAAAATTTCTCTCTTTCTCTGTAAAAGTCTTAATCATGCAAGAAAACCCCTGTGTACTGTAACATACATGTATGTCTTTTGTACAAAATCCTACCCATTAGAATTTTGTCCTTGGAGAATTCTAGCTCTTTCATGGTTACCATATCTTTTCCATCAACAGCTGCCTTTAATGCAGCTTGATTTACAAGATTCTCAAGCTCTGCTCCAGAAAATCCTACTGTGCCTCGTGCAATTATTTCTGGATCAACAGCTGTGGGGAAAAACAAACAAACTTGTCATTAGGGTCCATGCTGCTCCTGAAAAAGCCTGTATCATGAAGAACTATCAAGAAATGGTTGAATTATAAGCAAGAATCATGTTCTATTCAAAATAATGCGTTAAACAAAAAATTTTCAGCTTTAGAAGAAATGAAGCCCAATTCTTAAGACACTATGAACTGTTTGGGACTAGAAAGAAACACTGTCTCAACACTAACTGTCATAACACCACATACTAGACAATTTTTGTGTTCTTTACTGAGACAGATGGTAAAGCCACAATTGCTGATGGAATAAAAGGACTAATTCATGAGTGGGCTGATCCAGTATAAAAACTGTTACATAAAAAGCTATTACAGTAAACTGTTTACTTACATGGATCATACTTTATTTTATTGAGGTACCACTTCAGAATTTCTGTACGACCTCTTACATCAGGCTTGGGAACAGTAACTTGCATATCAAAGCGACCAGGACGTATTAAAGCACTAAGGGAAAAAGACAATTTAACACATTGACTTAAAAATGCTGCAGGAAACTGTTACTAACATATATAAGGAACAAAAATTCATCTGGTATTTCTAAAGACATTTACATAGACTAGGACTGATGTGCAAATGCAAAGAATACGTTTTTCTTATCTGTAAAAAAGGCAGATGAAAGATGTTTATTACCAACCCATTTTAAATGTTTTTTTTGCATTTGAAAATTTTGCATTGCGAACGATCACAGCTAGTCAATTTAAATAGAAAAACTTCCAGAAATTTTAGATACTTAGAAGCATGTTACTTATGTCTCCGTATTTAATTCAACAACCTTTTAAATGCCAAAAACTGGTCAATACACATCCTTTTTAAGAGGGAAAAACCCCAGCTATAACACTGTAATACTTGAAGATTATCACAAGCAACTTTGTTGTTGTTTTTGTGGGGGTTTTTTGTTTGTTTTTTTAATACATGCTCTGTAGAAATGATCAATACATTATACTCACTTGTCTAACGCTTCAGGGAAGTTTGTTGCACCAATAATAACAACACCTTCATTAGGTTTAAACCTGCATGGAAAAAAAAGGGTGAGAGTGTTGAGGTTTTTTTGGGGACAGAATTTACACCTTTTTTTGTCAATAACTACTTCTTTCTTATGTTGGATGATCTCAACTGGCCAGTCAAAAACACGCTGTCAAAGCACAGCATGTGATCCAAGAATGACCACGTTTAACCCAGCAACTGGTTAAAATCATGCCCTGATCTTAGAGTTGAACTTCTTTTAGATATACAGCCAGCCTAAAAAAATGATAAATTATTTAAAATAATTGCAGCTATTGTGCTACTACAACTCAGAAGCTTCTATATTCTTTACAGTAAAGCCATTGATGCTACTGTTGGCAGTACTTGAAAATGGTCGTAAGAGTATCTTAAATTTATATCCTTAAAAGCATTACAAAAAAAATTACAAGAAACATCAAAGCTGTGAATGAGGAAAAATTCATCCAAATATTCAAAATACCAGTCAGTCAGGCACCTTCTGTGCCCTCAGAATCCATATATTTACCCATCCATTTCAGCAAGAAGTTGATTAATGGTCTGTCTTGAATAGGGATGCATTGGAGATTCAATTCTCTTCCCACCAACAGAGTCCAACTCATCAATAAATATAACACATGGTGCATTTGCTTTTGCTTCCCCTGACAAAAGAGAAATAGCAGAAGGACACTTCAACCACACAAAAGAACAGTCAGCGTATCATGTAATTTAGGATTCTACTATTTCTATTATTCTTGGATTATAAAGTATTCTATTAGATATCACCAGAACTGTCTTGATTTTAGCCTAAAAAAATTAAATATATTTTTGAAATGAATCAATACAAAGAGAAGCAAGGTTCATCATCTCCACGTTAGCTTATTCTTATTACGCTACAAGAAATTACTAGCAAAATAGATTAAGAAATTTGTCGTATTTTGTATCAACTCCCAACAACAGTTTATTTCATAGGCTTGCATAGAGAACATTGACCTATTAAACAAAAATAATAAGAAATATGATGGGTCTAAACGCTAACTTATTTTAATAGAATTTGTTTGTTATTTAACAGTGAAGACCTCACCTTCAAGTTTACAGGTATTAAAAACAAAATAAAAACGCAATAATAAACTTTAAGACTACCAACTAGTACATGTATACCAGGATGCAACTCATCTCAGCCAGCTAGACATACCTGTAACATTGATATCAATGTATAAGTCAGTCACCTAAACTTCTGTAGTCAACAGAAAGAAATGCACATTTTAAGGTACAACACATGTTACATTTTGCATCCCTTCCATGTGAAGCAAGTCACGTTTCTTCTGCAAATGCAAACTGCTTTCTACATTGTATATGCCTGACACTATCAATCTTCCATTTAAGAGAGAAGTTGGATTCCCCCCTCCCCGATAATATTTATTTGCATACCTAAAATAGAAAGCCTCTTCTATGAAAGTTATCAATCTAAATATTAATTGCAAATGTTTCATTATAGTGCCCTTTATTCTGGGCCTGTTGATGGGCATGAGAAAGGAAATCTCAGCTTAGTGCTACACTGTGATCCCATAAAGCTCTCATTTAGAGAAAAAAAAAGACAATATAAAAATATGTGGGAAGTAATTGAGAAGGTTAACACTATTTTTTATCTTAAGTTTACACTTTAATTCAAATTTACAATAATTTATGTACGACAGTAAGTAAATTACAATTTGAAGTACTCCATTTAGTTTATAGGACATTACATTCTAATTAAATTACTTCTATTCTCTCTGGGAGTGCTGTAGCAAAAATTATAACTGATGTTACAATTTCGTCTGACAACTAACAAGATTCTACAGTTAACTGATGCTCAACAGAATTCTGAATTTACCTACACAATTAAAGTCATACACTACTACTTTCCAGTAACCAGAACTGTACTTAATCAAACCTTCTAAACAACACTGAATACTTAACCTCACATGTTAAAAGATTTCAAAAACACAAATATTTAACTTACTGAATAGGCTTCGGATGCGACTAGCTCCTACACCAACAAACATCTCATCAAACTCAGATCCAGATGCATAATAAAATGGAACATCAGCTTCACCAGCTACAGCCCGTGCGAGAAGAGTTTTACCAGTACCAGGTGGTCCAACTAACAGAATACCTAAAAAGACAAACAAAAAAAACCAAACAACAACAAAACCACCAAAGCCACAGTCTTATTATACAGGTACTGTTTCTTCCATGCATTAGAAGTAATTTACACTTGGCTTCAAAAAGTATTAACATCCCATTTCCAATACTGCTCATTACTTGCAGCATGAAGAAGCTTCCTGTAACAGATCTAGATACACTCTGATCCATACGGAAACAACAAAGACTTGTAAGACTATAAAATAAAACCAGAAGCCTGAAGTATTCTAGAGAGTTACTGCTGAGTTTAGCAGCTGAATCCCTAATAGTGTCTTCTTCAAACTAACATTCTCCTAGCTGTTTCTGAAAGTGGAACTTTTTTAAATCAAATTGTTCCAAATAATTCACTTGAAACAGTGTGAAGCACTAGCAGGAAACAGACTATCAGGTTTACATATTTCAGATTCACTTGGCCTAACACTATCGAGCTTAATCGTGTGTTTAAATGAAAACATTTCTTTCTGAACTGTCTAAAGCAGTTAGAAAGCACTAAAGGTGCTGAAAGCCATACAGAAGACATAAAGGACTTTTAAGAATTCAGTTACATGAAAACCCTGCCTTTCAAGATAAAGGACTACTGTATATTAGTTTAATATAGTAAAGGCAGCACCATAAGTTTTGTCTAACCCCAATATATTCATTTGCATAACACAGGTTCTTTTTTGGACATTTTTGCATTATCTTGGGTAAGTTTTTAAGACTAAACTTATGTTATGTATCTTTCTCAGATGAGAAAAGGTACAACAGAATTAAAAATTTTGGTGGCAGGAAGCTATTAACTTCTAAAAAGAGATATCCTTATAGAGACAGTTAAAGGAGGGGAAAAAATACAGACCTAAAAACCTCCAGGCTACATAAAGTTCCACTCAAAAATCCATTAACACCAATTATGCATAACTTCATCAGTAAATATTTTTTTAATACTTTGTTATGTTCAGTGACAAAGTAGAAGAATTTTTGTAGTTCAGTACATCATCTCTAAAAACTTTACTTGGTACTTCAAAGAAATATTGATTCTTAACCCTGTAAAGAAGGCTGCTAACAATGATAAACATAGGTTTGATTTTTGAAAGGCTTTTTGCCTGGAATCTACAGTCCGCTGCTTTGCACTGTCATAGCTTATTACCCCAATGTTATTATTGAATTTCTACCAAACGTAAGATGTATCCAAGCATCTTTGCTTCTTCTATCCAAGTATCTCAGATACCACAAATTCTCTGCGGGGGTAGGTGGTAACGACCAATTTTTACATATGGGGAACTGAAGGTAAGACAGGAAGCATGCAACATAACTACCTTAACCTCCACTCCCCCATCCCCAAGTACCTCATTTAAGGGTATCCTTTAATAAAGAAGCTTTCGCAGCTCTCTTGGAAGATTCATTTGTTCCTCAAATATTTTAAACAAACAAGGAAATCCACTACCTATGTCTAACATTATTTCACTATTTTTCCCAAATACAAACTAAATACAACAGTAGCATTTAGGCCCATTTTGGTTATATATTTTTTTGATTCCCTAACTAAAGGAAAAAATATTCAGAAGCTAGGCTGTAAATTAGTCACTCAGTATAGAACAAAGCTACAAAGATAGCCATGGCTACTTATGATTTTCACTTCTGCTGAGCAATACTTCTTACCTTTTGGAAGTTTACCTCCTAGTACAGTAAATTTATGTGGGTTTTTCAGGAATTCCACAACTTCTTGCAATTCCTGTTTAGCTTCTTCAACCTACACATTTAAAACATGCCACAAAATATAACTAAGCATTTATAAAATACTGCATCTTTTTAGTAAGTGAGTTTTGTATTAGAGACTTAGACAAGCCTAATTTTATTTGTCACAATTATTACACAATTACCGCACAATTCGTGTGGACATCAAGTGTCCATGAGTTTAATTTAATGTATTTCCCAGAACAGTTCACAGGAATAATCAGTAAACACTAAAGTTAATAATACTAAAGGAATAACCAAACAGTTCAAGACCACATCTGACCAACAAGATAAATACAGAATCAAAAATTCTACATCAAGATATTAGAATTAATCTCCTTTTAACTAATTAGGCTATCTATTTGTCCAAGGGGAAGGAGAGGGGGAGGTCCTCATTTTGCCACTGGCAGCCAAAGAACAGTTGAACAGAAAAAATAAAACTATCCCATCAGCAGTTGCATGCCCACTTCTTTCTGGGAATCTCTGTATCTCCTGTTCTAATATCAGATATTTGAAAGAGAGGGTACTAAAGAGAGAAATGATCAAATGGTATTACCATCTTCTTGTATTGGTCAACTTCTGCAAAAAATAGATTAACATGGATACTTCTGGCATGCCTTTTGCTCTTCTAGCCTTTTGCTAAAGGATAGCCTGCCTTTTGCTATTCTAGCCTTTAAAAATGTGATTCCACAAGTCGAGAATACACCTTTTATAAAGTATTAAATGCCACAAAGACATAACATAGAACAAGGGTGGTTAAAACCCTCCCTGATCTTGGAGTGGTCAATATATATAAGGCCATATACATACAAAGACATTTCTTGAAAAGAGTAAGACATTCTTCAGGCTCACAATGATTAGTCAAGCAAGAACTCACACACACTTTGCTTTTGAACTTACCCCTTTTACATGTTCGAAGGTGACATTTTTCAACTGGATTGGATCAACTGCTGCATCAAAGATACTCGATGTTCGAAAGCGTACTAATCGCAAACAGCAGATGATGAACAACAAATTTACACATGAAGTCATTTCATTCCAAGACTGAACTTTGCACTTGAATGCATACCATTAAGCCACTAACTTTATACCTGTCCTTTTAAAAGGGCATGTTTCCATTTACAAGTGTCCAGCAAGAATAAGATTTAAAAAAAAAAAATTAAAATATTTGCAGTTAATTAAGTAATTTAAGTGCTTTTTTAGTCATTTGTAGTACAGAAAGCCCTGCATCCAAAAGCAGGTACACAAAGCTAGAAGTTCTTCCTCAGTGTTTCTGCACATACCCTAACTTTCTTGAGACCCAGGTGACAACTTAGCATGAAGCTGAAATTCTCCATGTACATTAGCTCAGGCTTTGATCATTCCACTACTTCCAACAGATTCCTCAAGACGATAATTTGGCCATGCAAGTACCTAGTTGCTATAAACTAGGCTGTGATTACAAATAAAAATCAAACCATTCTGCCTACTGCTGACCTAGATAACACATCATCTAAATTCAAAGACAAATACGTAATTGGTGAACAGTCTGACTTCTTCTCTGCTTGGTTCCATGTAACTGTTTCACCAAAAGAATTAAAATAATTATACTAACAGACAATTTTTTTGTCTCCATAAACATTTTGTCACACTACTGTCTGAAAGGCTGTAGCCAAAAGCAGTAAATAACTCTTCTCTTTCATTATTACATTGAAATGTTATCCTAAAACAATCATAATGTCAAAACACATTTAAATTGTGCTAAACTTGCTGGAAGAAATGCACGTGAAACGGTGGGGAAAAAAAAAAAGTTAACTAACCAGCATCAGAAAAGGAGCCTTTCCCAGGTAAAAATGACGAATATATAGCAAGGTAAAAACAAAGAACAAAGAGAAAGAAAGAAAGCAAACGTGATCTTCTTAAGGAATCTGTAAAAGACAAAAAAGAAAGTTTTAAAATGGGCTGAAATAAACTACTTTCTGAATGCAAACACAAGATACATGAACTAAAACAACTTACCAAGTGTTTTTTGCAGGAATACCTGTGCTTTCAAAAAGCCTTCTGCAAAACCAGTTTTAAAAGCATCCTGGTGTGCCTCTGGGATGTTTTTTGTTTTCATTAGCGTATCTAAGTTTTCAACATCAATCCTTCGCTTTCTCAGGATAAAGCCCTAAAATATTTTCCACAGCAGCATTAGTATACAGTAAGTTTTGGTACACAGTTAACTTACTACCTGGCTAGCATGGGTGACGGGGAAAAAAATAAAATAATAAAAGCATATAATTCAGGTGCTATGGGGTTAGTTAGATGACACAGCTTGAGTGTGGAATGACAATGGCTCCAAGCAGGGGCACCCTGATTTTTGCAAGACAGGCCAGGTTCAGAGCCCTCCTGGACCCCAGTTCCAAACAGTAAAGGCAGCCCAAGCCAGATTTGTAAACAGCTAGCTCTGTACACTGGATTCAGTGGGAGTTATTAGCTTAAGCTTTTTGCTTCAGAAAATCAACTTAAATTATTTTCAAATCTGAAATATCTTTGTAAGTATAGTTTTGATAGAGCTTGATCAAATACATCGCATATGCCCTACCAAATTTTAGAGCAGCACTGCATAGAGCTAGCTCTGGTTTATCTTCATCCATGGTATACCTAGCCCCCACATGAAATAAACCACATATGCCTAGAAGAAGGGCAGAGTTCAAAGCTAATTTACACACACCATAAGATCAAATGCTTTAATTAGCCTGACTTCTGTACAACCAATTAGAAGCAAAGAGTACCCAGGTTAACCTGGTCTTGTTAAGGGCTTGGGTACCCCAAGCCTGGATAGTTATCTGCCGAATTAAAAGTATGTAAGTGAGTTTGTAACCCATAAAAACACTTGGTTTAAAATTTTTGTATCTTAAAAATATACTAGCCACAATTAAGTCTATTCTTAAAGCATCAATCACATGCTGAACTGCTTAAAAAATATACATTCTTGCATGTTAAACTAGCTGTATTTCTGTTTAAACAAATACTTCGACTCCAAGCTATTTTTAACAAAGCCACAAAAACAGAATACGAAGACTTTCATGTCTAGAGTTTAAAAGTCTGAAACTACTATCCTAAAACATCCAAACAATCTTTATATTGATGATATATGAAGCAAATCCCTGTATCAGTAAGAAAAACAGTATGTCATTAGCTCAAGTTTTAGAATTAAGACATTTTTTCACACTGGTGAAACACACCACCCTTGGTAAATTGTGAAGGTCCACTCAAGAGACAGAGATGGTCTGAACAAGCCCAAAACAACTTCATAATGCTACTCATATTTACCTTCAAAACTGAAGAAAGTGAATTTTTTGTTTCTGTGAATTGTTCAGATGTTGACTGCAGACGTCTTGCTCTTGATCTCAAAGTCTTAAAGGTCCGTGATTGTATGTAAACTTAAAATAGTAATAATAAATAAAAAAGTTAAAAACTATCCATTACTACCACTACAAAAAAAAAGAAAAAAAGGCCTACAAGATTTCAGGAACTATTATATGCAAAAGACTTTATTGAAGTCTTTTTCAAAAAGATTGAACTGAAGATAATCTTCCCAAAATATCCACAGTAGAAAGTGAAGAGAATTGCAAACAGCAATCTGTTTAAGATGCCTGACCAAAAATGTAAAAAACAGAAAACAGTATGAAAGACATTTCTCGATCTAATAGTAATAAACTGGATAAATAAACCAATAAATTTTAGTACTGTAAATGGATAGTTAGGCGATCATGAACCGTGTTTGTAATCTAAACTTGCAGGCAAACTGCTTACTGTTTCACAATATATTTTTCCTATAAAATTTTTTGTTAAAATAATCAGGAGTTCATGTTGTGAATTATAGACAATTGGCCAACGCTATCACTGTCTCAGGGAACAGGAGACATACAGCCAAATTAAATCCAGGCAGGCTGACAAACATGAAACTTTCAGAAGCTAATCCAGAAGTATGGGAATGAAGGTTCCTGCTCTAAGATAAGCTTTGCCTAAAAGCTGAGCTGATAAGGTGCCCTGAAGAGATCTGGAATGGCTTAGGTGTGCTGTTAACTTAGAAACTGACAAAAGAAATTAGACCATTTAAACACTGTGAGTTTATAGCACTATATGTCATCTTCTATCACATCAGAAACCTTGCAATGGAGATTTTATCCCATAAATCACAAAAGCCAAGAATATTTCTCTTCTTCCACTACCATGTTTTAAAATAATCACCAACACCAGTCAATTATATAGTTTTAACTAAGCCTTCCGTTTTCATAGAATAGCACCAGACGAAAGGAACTTCTGGAGGTGGTCTAGTCAAACCCCCGCTCAAAAAAGGTCTAACTTCAACATCAGATCATGTAGCTCTGGACCTCGTCCAGCTCAGTTTTGAAAATCTCTAAGGATTAAGACAACACAACCTCTCCAGACAATCTGTTTCAGAACTTAGCCATTCTCATTGTGAAAATTTTCCAACAGGAATTTCCTTTGCTTTTCTTTGTAATTGTTGCCTCTTCTTTGAGGTGTACGAGAGGAGGGTAACTAATATACTTCCAATAGCAATTAGATCACTCCTTGCTTTCTCTTCTGCTAACTTTAAAATCTCAGATCCCTCCATTTCCCCCATATATTAAATGCTTGAAAATCTGCACCCTTCCTTGTGGCCCATCACTGGGCTATCTCCATTTTGTCAGCACCTCTCTCTCAACCATGGGACACAAAAACAGACACAATATCCAGATGCAGCATCAGAAGAACTGAATAGAGGACAAAACCTGAACTCCCTGAGCTCCTGTGTTCTTGCTAATGCAGCCCTGTTACCCATCATACATCCAGGAGCAGTTTAAATCAGTCACCAAGCACCTTAGAAAGTTCATCTGGATGAATACCAGAGTCAACATATTTATTCATTCAGAAGTAGTCAGATCATCTATCATCTTTTAAGAACACAATCCACAAATACTGACAACTTTGAACAAGATTCTATAGTTATACCATGTTTACTAACTTAATTCTGGAAACATACTACTCAAATGCAAAAATAAGTTTGTGATTTAAAGTGTTAATATCAATGTAAAGTTCCTCCTGGAAGTTTAGGGGTATTTCCCGCATGACACCTCTAAGACAAAAGTAAAAATACTTTCCCAGACTAGAAAGATACTATAGAGCTTAAAAACAGTGTAGTTTATTGTTTTATACCTGGCCAACACCGAACATCTGAACAGAAATTTTGGAGGGGATTAGGATGCTGTCTGTACAAACAAGATGAACGTAAAGCACTGAAAACATCCACGAAACCTGTAAAAAGATACAGCAAAGTGTCAATACACCCTATATTAAACGGCAAGTAAACATTACTTCTTGCATAGGTTGTTTTTTCTTTCTTAAGTATTAATTCTATTTTACTATGGTCCTTCAGGCATCTGTAATTAAACAAATTAACCAATACCAGTACACAGATAGTTAACTTCTTTGCGTTAACCTATGTCAGGCACTTTGCAATATACCAGAATTTTTTCTAATTAGAACTTCCGAAAAACATTGGTACCCAGAATCTTGAATTTGAAGCTGTATCTGGGATTGAAAACTCTGCATATCTGTACAGAGCTGAATAAAGTTATCTAGACTGGACAGGAATCCAAAGTCTTTCATGAAGCTGAAGGACCAGCATTCAACCAGTCATTCCGTTTCCAAGGCTTTAAAGAACAGATTGCACATGGGCATTTTAAAACAGAGTATGTATAACACGTGAAAACATTTTAAACTATACCGAGTCTACTTAATTGTACAGTCCTTATGCAATACAGAAACAAGAACAAACAAATAAATAAATAAGCATCATAGTGAAAAAGTTATTAGCAGATACTATTTCAAGGACGCTATAGAGTGCACAACAAGAGGACTGTCATTTATCTGTTGTTTAGTTACCAAAAGCTCAAAGAACTCATCCTCATTTAGCAGGTAAGAATTATTTAAGAAACATCAGAGACCTGGGGAAGGAAGGGAAAAAAATCGAGGGCAAGCCTACATATGCTCTCTTCCATAGTAATTCAGAAGCTAATGTAATCACAAAAGGGGTGGGGTGGGGTGGTGGTGCTTATTTTGCATATTCTGAGAAAGCTATTACATCAGTTAGATACGTCTAGGACAGCAAAAAAGAACCCTGAAAGTTCCTGATAATTTTTTTTAAGTTATATGATTATAATAACAGCTTACAAGCTGACAACTGAAATACTGAGGAACTACAGGAAGAAGAAAAAAAGATTAGCTATTAATACTACAATGCTGTATATTCCACAGTCTTCTACAATACTGCATATTGGCTAACCTAATACAACATAATTATGAACACGTTAGTTTAAAAAAAAAATACTCTCCTCGCTTTATGCACAAGTATATGCATACCATACACATATCAATAGTAACAGTCATCCATAGCATGCAGTGTCACCTACACTAGAAGAACGTTCTTGAAGATTTAGCATCTCCCTTGCCTGTGGCAGTTTTCCACCTATAACCTTGCCTTTTCAACTGTGAGTGAAACCACCAGTCTGGTGAGCTTCCATGTTAACCTATCAAAGCTCTGAAGCATTTGCAACTTTTTTCTTCACATTTTTTTTGTATCTCACATCACAATGCAATTTAATACTTTTTCTCTAATAGTAGCCCTGAGATATTTTTACATTCTTTCTCCCAACTGCAATACTATATAGGTAGTATCTCAAATGTGAGCTATACGCTTCTTTTTCTAACACATTCCTGAGCATCTACAATGGCCTTGCTTCCTGTAATTTAGACTAATTCCAACAAACCATCTTTATCTGTAAGGAACCACTCTTGGTTTATTTCAGCAATGAAATACTCTACATGGACTGTTAACAGTTGCTTACCCTGAATTCCTTTCTCATTAATGTCCTCGTGTGATGTTGCTTCAAGCAAAAAAGGAATAACTTAATGTAAACTGGAGATGTTCATGACTGTTCATTACATTAGTAGATCAGCAAAATCTAATTTCTTCTATTTGGTGAAACAAACTGCTGAAAAAATTCATAGCTCAGGTTCATCGTTAAGAGACAATGCACTTGTACTACAGCTGAGTTCAGACAAGTTTAATAACAGCTAACTTCAAATCTGAATCTGAAGAAACAATTCCAAATCTGGGTCGAATTTTCTAAAATTCCCAAGATTCAAAAGCACCACTCTAGAGACAACCTGTATACAATAAAAAATACATCAATACTCTTTTTATTAAAGATTTTTTTAAACTATGAGTTATCTACAGCACAAGAGATTAAACTAAAGAATAACTGTGTTCACCTTTAACTCTTTATCAATTCTCATACGCACTTTACTCTGAAACATACCATGCTTATTTTCAAAGAAGGACTCAGCAGAGATGTACGATGTATGCCACTGCGAAGATACTTTGTTTTCTGCACAGTAGCCAGGAAGCAACCTGTTCACCAATTCTCTGACCTGGTTAGCTTTCAAATCAGACAATCCCAGGTCTCTTAAATTAAGTACAGACTGCAAAATAGAAATAAATGTTCAAAACTTAAGATTACCTTACGGGGGAAAAAAAAAAAAACAAAAAACAATTGAGTTAACTTTTTGGCTCTATACAGCATCTCTCTTTCACAGTTCAGACTGAAATAAAGAAATTCTAAATGAAGATAAATGAATGAAAGAACATGAATAAAGAAAGAACGTTTGCTACTGTCAATGCGGAATAACTTTTCCATTTGCACACATTGATATTTTCATTGTCACAGGACATTTATGAGAAGTATATTTTCTTCCCAATTCAGTCTTTTTAACACCTTCCTGCTCCCAGATTGAAGCAGGCACAGAAAAAAATGCAGTTTTCCAACTCTTTCTACTCTTTATGATAGAGCAAATGGAGCCTGCGGGGGGGAAAGATGTACAGCAATAGCCACCCATTATTTTTCATCCAAGTGAGCAAACAGAAAAATCCCCCCAGTGTCTTTTTTTTTTTTTGGCTATCCTTTTTGCAGATAGCGCAGATTGGATATTTAGAAACAATACCCAGAGTTAAAATCTTAAAAAGCCACAAGCTGGATAGACACACAATGAAAGGCAAAAGTTTCTATGGTGAAAAGGGTAAGTACTAGGATCTGGGATTTCCTACAAAGCGAAGAAACTATGAAAAAAACAAGGAGGTAAGGTACAAAAGAAGTAACAAGATTAAAATTACTTTGATCAAGGTATTTCAGACAGGAAAAAATCTTTTTACGGGAGAGTATGTTTTAAAAATACGTATTGGTTTGGACCCTTTAAAATATCTATTAGCCTCTCAATATTGCTTCTGCAGTAACATTTTCTGAACTGAGAAGTAAATATTCTATTCTAAATGTATTTGCGCAGATATTTAATTTTTGATTGTTAGAACATTATGGATTATATTTTTGTTTTTATGTAAGCTTTATGTTGATCTACTTTCAAGGTGAAACTAGATTTCCAATAAAAAGACATACATGAAAAACACTTGAATAAAATGTCAGAAAAAGCATTTTTAGAACAGATTCCTAGATGCATTCAGAATACCACCATATTCAAAGTTTATAGTTTAAAACAGGTTTCTTAAGTAAACAAAGTATTCTGTTTTAAAGGCTAGGGTAGCTTGCTCCTGGTTCACTTATACTCAAAATAAGTACGAATACATTTTTAAACATCATTGGACTTTTACACATGGTTTAAACATGTTTTAATGTTTTCTTAGTTATAAAACTTGTAAGAAATGAGTTGAAAGAGAAGTGGCAAAATCTGATAATACTTTGCACTTTCTGTATTTTGATTTTCAATGTGAAGAACAAAAAAATACCTAATGATAATGAAAAATATTTTAATAAATAAGAGCACATGCTAGTATGCTACCTAATCTCTCAAAATCCCTCAACATATTTTAAGTTACAGTCTGTTTTCTCACAAGCAATAAAGAAACAAACTTTGCTTGAACTCAGAGAGTGACAAGGCAATAAGGGGTTTATCAACAGAAAAGTTATTGTTACTTTAGAGCAAGAAACATTAAGTTGAAAGTGAAAACAAATCACCTCCTCGTTTGCAAATTACTACTGAAACAAGCACTAGCTTTTGTTCTTATTAATGAAATACTGTATCTTTGCAGAATCCTTACTGCCAAATCACTGAGTGACTGAAGTTCTGTCAAAAGGTTACATTCTATGTGTTAACATTCTGTTTCGTTTAGTCACGTTACATTGTTTTATAAAGTGAGTCAAATATTAAATTTACTTAAACTGATATTATTTTGATTTAATTCAGTTAAAAGCAAACCACCGCTCTTTCCAAGGGTTTTTAGTACCTCACTCTTCTGAGGATCATGCTCTGGGGAGGTGTCCCTCTGGACAGGCTGTACGGATGCTGCACTGGCAGTAGTAGTGGAGCTTTTTGGTGAATGAAAGGCATTGATAAGGTGACTCAGAGGAACAGTAGCCTGGGGGGAAAAAAAAAAAATCAGATAATGATTTAAGCTTGTTTAAACTATTTAAATATATCTCCATTCCAAACCCTGACTTATAATTGCATATCTTGTACACTGCCTTTTGCCTGAGGACTTCATAATAAACCACATGAACTTAGCTAACACTGTGGTGTTGAAGCTGATACCTCTATTTAAAGAAAAAAGAAAGTTTAAGCATGCATGACATTAGAAGGTCACAAAGTTTGGAAGAGGGGAAAAAAAAAAGAGGCTACACTTCCTGGTTTTCAAACATAAGCATGGTTTAAAGAAAATAATCGCTACATTTGCAAATACAGAAGCAGGTACAGATCATCAACACTTAGAAGATGCAAAGACTGCCCTCAATTTGCACTTAAGACAATGTTTAGTTACAAAAAAAAAAATAGACAACTTCGTATAGATTGTTCTCAGCTGAAAGAGCAGGGAAACAAAATTGCTACTACACTTAATACTTCCTTCAGAATATTTTTTCTTTTTTTTTTTTACGTATCACTTGTTTGCTGTATTAGATATGTGCTGTTGCAACCTGATGACGTAACAATAAGGATTGTTGCTGTCTTCTGACAAATATTACAAACTTAACAATCATTTCATGCAAATAAACTAGGTAACTTTGTGGAACTGAATGTTTTTCCCTTGTAGTCAACACACCCCCATCACAGTCAATTAACTTACATTCCAAGTAGGTGTTTTTTCCCCCCACATAGCAATGAAAGACACAAAAAAGGAAACACAATCAATACAGGGAGAAAAAAAGAGAGGAAAAACAATAGCAAATGAGTTCTACACTGAAAAGTCTGCAAGCTGACGGCACCTCTTGAAATGTTTAAAACATGTTTATAGTTGCTGTCATTCAGGAACTTTCTCTGCTTTGGAAGAAATGTTCACTTAAAATAATCCTGAGCCTGTCCTGGTGTCGCCAAGACAAAACTAACACCATTCTGATAAGACTTCACAACACAGTTACAGAAGAGAAGTAATGCTCTTTAAACAAAATGAACAGAAAAAGAATGGTAAATGAGGTATTCCATCTATGTAGTGGTAGGCCTTAATTTCAGACTTTAGCATGAAATATTGTAATATAGTAAATTCTAGATTATCCCTAGACAGATATCCAAGCAACAGATCTCATCAAGCTGCTTCCCCTTGAACCAACTTGAACAGAAAGCTCAGTGGCTGCTTTTGAATAGCATTGAATCATGAGGATTTATCAACACCTTACTAATTCAGAAATCACTGTTCTTAAGTACTACTGACTCCTGTATTATTCTCCAAAGAACACCTATTTTCATCTATAAAGTAATACTTCTATAACTTGAAATATCTATACTTTTTCCTGCATTATACAAGTTATTCCCAAAAGTTTCATTTATGTTTTCTTCCTTGGGATCCCACTTTAACAACATGCCTAAGGACCAAACTAACCTATACAAAGCATATATCACAGTCAATTCTGCAGTTCAGCAGCACTCGGTCAACTCAGTGACACCACCTCATGAATCGGTACAGAAGCCCAGGTGCACCGCATATCAGGGCTCCTCCTCTAGCACATGACTGTCTCTATTGTGAATATACGGTACAAATAATTCCAATGCTTCCTAAACGCCTCAGTCTCATTGCACGTCACTAGGGAAGAGAGTTGGGGTGCAACTCTGGCTGCTGGGGCGATACCTGACTGCAATACCTGATTAAGCCTCTACCTATGAATGCCCTTCCGCAAGAACTTCCATCTCTATGGTGACTAGATGGAAGACCAAGAGACAATGCTGAGAGACATGAAAACTGCCTCAGAATTAATTGTCCAAAGTTATAATTAAGCTCTGAGAGTTTGCAGTAAAACCATAAAGCCTCCAGAGGTCAAAGCCAGCATCCAAACCATTAATCAAGCTTTCCTCCTGTATTTCCCACTATGAAGAGGTGGAATGACACGTTCCTAAAAATATCATTACAAGTTCTGTCCTTTCACTACACTAACAAAAGCAATTAACACATTCTCCACATGTGGAAAGAAGAATCAAATCCCACTGTGGCATAAGACTAGCACATACTAATTCCCCTAACACAAAACAAAAGTAAAACCACTGGTTCAGATCAAAGTCCATAAAACCTGCTAGTCCCTCCCAACTCACTATCTAATAAAAGATGCCTTCCCGATTGCATCCAGGCTGTGCTATGTAACAAGTAATTGAGGGACTTTTCCTCCACTAACTCTTCTAATTCCTAAGTCTTTTCTTTCTGGTTTTCACAACAACCCGTGACAATTAACAGCACAGTTTAACTTTAGCTGTAATAACACTCCTTCGCTCGGGCCCGGCCGACGCTCTCCAGCGCCCCAGAAACGTGGCAGCCGGGAGCTCGGGTCCTCCCGCCGAGGCCCGCAACCCCCGCTCCCGCTGCCTCTACCCGGACGCGAAACGAGCCCCGGACCGCAGCCCGGCGGAGAGCGGGCCCCAAGGCGGGCGCACCGCAGGGGGC